ACGTGACCTCTTGTCAGTTGGGGCTATGGGGAGGGGGGAAGGTGAAACCTCGGGAAGAAGGGGGTGGTGTAGGCCCCTCCAGCCAGAGGTCTTCCCTCCCCCTTCCCCCTTTGCCCCACCTGACAAGAGGTCACGTGACCCCTTCCCTCTCCGTCCCACCTGGCCATTGGTCAACGTGGGTCACCCTACCCGAGTCTTCCCCTCTCCCTCCCCCCACAGACCCACCTAATGCTAACCCGCCCCTCCTACATCCCGAGGTCCTCCCTTCCCCCTTCCCTCTCCGTCCCACCTGGTACGTACCATCCCTGATTCCCGATGTGTCCCCGCCTCCTTTCCCCCATAGTTTCAATTTTTATCTTTTTATTCTTTTTAGCAGAATAAGGAAAGGTAGGACGCGCCTCACCTGACAGAGGTCACATAACTGGTCAAAGCAGGTAATTTTGATTGTCAATGACCGTGACGGCATAATGCGCCAAGCACCACTCCTCTCCGAGGTCTTCCCTCCCCTCCTGCAGGTGGGCCAGTGGGGAGGAGGGTGAGAAGCTGTCTTATTGCTAACACACGGATTAGTGAATTGCAGTTAGAAAAAAAAAACTTGTGTCATGTACGGCAGTGGGGGAAGGGAGAGTGGATAACACATCTCCATGTGAACGCCGAGGATAAAATTTTGCCGTCGGCGCAGGTTGGTCCCGTCCTGAACCCGTCGAAGATCATCGTCGGCTCATGCCGATGCCGGGAAAAATACGTATTTGCCGGCCGTCGGCATAGGCCGACAACCGGAACATTTGGGTTAAAGGGCATTTCTTTCCCTTTACAAATAATCCCAGCCTCCTGTGAGCTATGATATTCTGTTCCGAAATTAAGGATTTATGACCTTGAGAATGTTTATAATCATTTTCTAGTCCTCCTTGTATTGTTCAGTTCCATCTTCTACAAATTTTTCTTCATGTCCCAATATGACAATGTCCTTATTTACATCAGCCATATTAGCAATATATCTTGCATGTTACCCAAGATGAGATTTGAATTTGTTTTTCTTTACTGTCTCTGCAAGCTGTGTCTTAATTTCTTCCTGTGTGATCTCAATGTCTTTTTCTATCTTTTTTTCGATTTCATTTATGGTTTCTTTTACCTTTGATACTTTAACATGTGTAGCTGTCATCTTTTTTGCTTCTTCCATTATTTGAGCCTGGCTGCTTGACAAATTGCTTTCGTTCTGTTTAACAGTTTTTTGTACTTTGATTTCCTCATCATCTACCTTTTCATGCAGATTCTTTGCTTCAGTTTCACTACAGTTTTTCTTGGTTTTTGCTTCTGCTAACTATTCCTTTATTTCTTTGATTTTCATCTCAGATTTGTCCATATTTTCTCTCTGAATGGTGGTGTGTTTGCACAAATTTTCACCCAATTCCTTCAAATTTACATTTTCTTCACATATTTTCAGGCATTCTGCTACCAGGTTGTCTACCTTGGCTTCAAGAGCCTCGCTTCTGACTGCTGTTTCTGCTAACTTCATTTTTCTTGTCTGATCTGAGTTGTTACTCATTAAACAAACAAAGAATAAATCTGTACTCACTGCAGTTGTCTCTAGGCATGAAAAGCTTACCATGCAGTATTCACGGTCACATCTTGCCTCCCTTACCTTCTGTCTCACATCCCAGCTCACAAAGCCACACTATCTTTTTCTGTTTTTTAACTTATTCCTTCACTTTCTAACCCAGTTTTTCTTTTCAACATGAACTATACACATTTACATAACCCATGACTAGCAGACTAGACCACCCATTGCTCAGTCCTCTCCGTATTTAACAATATGTAAGAGCTGTACTGCGCTGGTGCACTGGACTTCTCACCTCTCGTGTGTGTTTTACTGTGTATATGTTTGTGTTTGTTTGTATGTTTGTGTTTGTTTGTATGTGTGTGTGTGTGTGTGTGTGTGTGTGTGTGTGTGTGGTGTGTGTGTGTGTGTGTGTGTGTGGTGTGTTGTGTGTGGTGTGTTTATGCTTGTGTCTAATGATATATTTTTGGCATATGTCTTGAAATGTCATCATTTTATAAACGCATAATTATGCAAAGCCCTAAAATAATGCAATAAGCCAAATTTCCTTCATCATGAATATGATTTCCTTTTCCAAATTAAGGGGACCGTCCCGGAAAATGGCCACCTTTCCCTACTCATTACATCATAAAAAAATATCTGTTAGAGATAACTGATTGATTCTTTTTTCATGATATAGAGTTTAGAATTGTGTTTTGTTTCATATATAATCTTAACCTCGCTCCCCCATAGGAGGGGGGGTACCCCCAAAAGGTAAATTTTTTTTTTTTTTTTTTTCGTCTTCGGCATATAATAACTATCACAGTTCTTTAGCGAATAGTCCCCAAAAAATACTTGTGTTAGATCAATCCTAGCCTAAGGCTGTGTAGTTGGCCAATTTTTTTATTTCCTTATTTTTTGGCGGGGGACTGTTTGACATAGAGTCCTATTTTGGGTTCGCTTTTTTCAGCTTTAAAAAATCTATATTTTTTGATTAAGGCAAAAATTTAAAAATTGGCCAACTACACAACCTTAGGACTGCGAGGCTCTAGTGAAAGCAACAAACTGCATTTGAATCGCATGAAAATTACAAGAGTTAGGATGTACCAAAGGTTCAACAAAAAATAACAGATACGGTGTATTGTATTTGGCACCTTGCCACAGGTCGTTATCTCTGTTATTTTTCTCTGAATCTAATTATATTATATATCAAAACAATGCTTATTTAATGTACTTTGCAATGCAATGATTACCAAGTCAATAGGAATTTTCATTTTCAATAGGGACGCTATTCTGTAAAGGTATGTAATTTTTTTTTCGTACGTTGTTCATAAAAGTAGGTATTTTCGTCTGAAAAGTTTAATAAATGCATTTTACCATAGAGACAACTAATCTAAACCAGATGAAAATCTTTTTATTTTTATTTTTTTTTTTTTATTTATTTATTTATTTATTTTTATTTTTAAAATTTTTGAAGAAATGGGGAACTGTGGATGGCAACATTAATTCAAAATCATCCTAATTATAAAGCATGCATACAACATGGTGGTTCAATTTTGACAATTTTAAAAGCATATGAATTTAGTACGTTGAATTTGAGAAGTTACGAAGGTCGTTGAATTTTCCCCATGCTTCACACAGTGGCGGGGAGGGGGAGATGGTCACTGGGTGTTTATAATTTTCGAGGAGGATCATATGTATGTGAACGCATGCACATAAAGTTAAAAAGATTAATCCTCCTCCTTTAGTAGGCCTACATTGACTTTTATATCTAAATGATAGAATATATTAGTTATCCCTCTCATACCGTTTTCTTCGATAATTGTCAATATCAACAGATTACAAAGTAGAACAAGTGTAGAGTTTATGATTAGCCATGTGCACCCATTATCTTTACTAAGAAGTGAATAAAATCATGCAGACGCCTAGATGTTGTGGGATATTTGCGAATTTATGGTACCTAAGACTTACGGTAACACCTAAACATATTAATTTTTATCGGGAACACACAAAACAAATGCAATAGCTTTTTGAACGCTAGACGAAGAGTGCGCAAACAACCGAGCTCAAAATTCCATATAGTTTTTCTTTCAGAGCAGGTATTACTGAGTACTATCATCTTCAATATGAAATAATCTGTATCTCGCTTATACATCTGAAGTTAAAAAATCCGACAATTAGGTAACATTCGTATTAAATTGGTCTTTACAACGGTAACTACCAATTTCAAATCAATTAAAATTTCCGCTGTGATGTACCGACTGTTGAGCAAAATGTAACGGAAATATTTCAATCCTTACTTACAAGGCTATTTTTAAACATTGGTGCTTTGTATGTGATTTACGTACATATTACCCTGTAAACTAAAACATATTACCAGGGAGTCTCAATCGAAGCATATTTCGTGTGTAAAAGTACACAAAACTTACATTTTTTAGATATATTTCACAAAATATTTCGTCATAAATCACGGTGATATAATTTTTTCCTGATATTGGCATAAAAGTGTTCCTTGAACATTCACGAACTCATATCTATGCGCAATGTCATAATTAAATGCAGTATGCACAATTGCAGCAAGCAGAAATCCACATAGGTGTACCTGGGTGCTCATTAGCGACGTACCTCCCCAGGTGCTGAGGGACTCTCATGTCGGCTGCAAGACAACGAGCCATAGCAGGCGCTTAATAGTCGTTTGGTAGTTTCCTCATCCATGTACCTATACTATACGCTAGCTAACTCAATTTGACCCCTTGTCCCCCCCTCATCTGGGACGGTCCCCTTAAAGGAATTCTGTTATTCCAAATAAATATGATTTATATTGAAATTTCAGAAGATCTACTTTTGGTTTATTTTATTCTGCAATGTGTAAAATGAAGCCAGACACAAATAATTTATGAAGGTATAGATAAGGACAAATACTACTTTTGTACAGAATAATGCAATCTGTCAGTTATCAAATATTTACAGAATTGGCATTGTTGCATTTTCAGATTACAGTAACCTTGTTGATTGTGAATGCCTGCATGTCCATGATTACTTCGAACATTGCCTATCACTTTATAAACCTTTATAATCAACACTGATTTTTTAAAAATAATTATTTATCAGTTAAAGTAAGAAGAACTGTGAGTTTGCGATGATCTTCAGAGTTTGAAGGACCAATGAGCAGTTATGTTTCAAATGTTTCTAGGCTCCAGCTATCAGAGTTAAATGAATACTATAGTTGGGAAGTGACAAGGGGGAGTGGTGGCATCTTTCTTTCTTTTTTTTTATTTTGTGTTATCATCTAGTGTTTTCTAACTCTCCTGGGTATGCACATCTAATTTTAATTTGCATTTGGTTTTGATTTTTTTATACCACATTGACTGATCATGCTCACACATGAGGGAGACTGATCAAGAATAATAATATGCATTTTTCATTATCATTATCATTCTTATTATTTCATCTCTGTCCGCAGGATCCAAGTGCAAATGTGCCAGTGCAACGAAGCCGGCGCCTCCCCCAAGAGGTTGCAGCATACATGGCTCAAGAACTCAACATAGAGGAGTATGAGGCATGTATTTTGATTTTTTTGTACAATAAGACTAGAGTTGTTTTTAACTATTGTTGTTTTCTTACTACTCTCTAGACCCCCTAGGTCTTTATTGATTATATATTATTCAAGTATTATTTCTTGATTAAAGATATAAGCTTCATTACTTCATCTAACCAGAGCAGTTTTAGGATGTATCCAAGAATCAGGTAAAACAAAAATAATTGTAAATCACCCTGGCAACTCCTTAAACCCAGCTTTTATTTGGATTTGTAGATATGCAAGAGGAGAAAAATAAGATACATGCTATTCTACAAATTACCCTCTATCAAGAAGGGTGCTCAAAAAAAAAAAAAAAAAAAAAAGGCATTATGAATACATTCATGTGCTATTACAGAATTATTAGTAGTGTGTGCAAGAACTGCGGAGACTACTTTAGAGAAATATTGTACAGCAAAGGGCAAGAGACCCACATATTTTTCATGGATATGATTTCAATATAAAGACAATAGGTATTTTTGCTGAAATGTATTGCAAATATCCCTTCACCCAACAGATTTTTTTTCACATAAATGCTTGGAATTTTCTTATTGTTTTGTAGCATAAAAGGAGAAAACATTTTGCGTTTTTGTTACATTGTTGATCCATGTTGCCCCAGGTGAATGTATTATTCCAATAGCTACATTTTATGCATCATCAAATCATGGTTTATTTCCATTTATAAGCTCTTCATAATGAAAAAAAGATATTGATCAACACATTATTTTGCTTGTAGGTGTGCATGTCCAGATATATGATATGATCATGAAAGAGGTCTCTATGACTAGAGAGTGATGTCTGCTTATACCTTCCTGTTGTTCATATCTTCATTATGGCATTTCATTTTCTGAGCTCTAATAGATATCTTTCCTTATTATGGAGACTCTTTTCAAGTAATGCTTTTACTGATTGGTGAGCATTGATAGTCAGCATTCACTGTCTTCCTTCTCTTTTACTAAAGAGAAGTGAGGAGTTATTATGACACTGATGCTCACTCTCCTTTATACTTTACAGTGTGCTTTATTTTGTTGATGTATATTTCCTTTCATTATCTATATAAGTTTTTTATTATTGCATCATGCCATCATAATGAATTCTTTTAAGTGCATATTTCTGATCTGACCGTTGGAGTGTCTTTGAAGCAGTCCTCTTGTAGCTCTTTTGAATCAATACCATGTTCATCTCAAGAGTATTATCTGCATTATCCACTTAATTAGTATATTTTTTCAGTTAATAACCAACCTTTGTACTAGACTGCAAGAGACCAGGCCATAAAACATCTGAGAAAGTAAAAATGCCTTTTTTTCCCCATGGATTTCCTTCCGTTCACTGGGTTCTGCTGGGGCTTCTACCTGCAGTGATTGTCAGAGGGGGTTTTCGTATGTTGTTGTCTTACTTGGTTCTTGGATCCACTCTGGAACTGCCCTTGTAAGAAGTCATCTCAGTTTATGTCACTGATGAGAGTCAATACTAATTATGTTATCTTCACACCAAACTTCTCGGACAGAGAAGGAGAATATCTGTTTCATTATTATTGTTGCAGTTGTGACCGTAGTTATTATTTATAAGGCTATTACTATTATAGTGGATACAATATGTAATCATGCTTTATACATTATGATGATATGTAATTGTTCTTTGTTTAACATAATGATGGATGATTCCGGTTTATTTAATATATGTAGAGAATGAATGTGTAATATACTACTTGATTCTCCAGGCAAATGAACTATTGGATGCTGAAGTTCAAACTCACTTTGGTATATCCAATACATGCATGGTCCTCGAACTCCTGCTCAATTATGGATTTACAAGGGAGCAGGTTTGTATTTATTTTTATTTTTTGATATTTCACATTTTAAGAAATGGGACTTGTTCTTGAATCTATATATTCATACTTACTTTTACTCTCTCTCTCTCTCTGTCTCTCTCTCTCTCTCTCTCTCTCTCTCTCTTCTCTCTCTCGTCTCTCTCTCTCCTCTCTCTCTCTCTCTCTCTCTCTCTCTATTTCTCTCTCTCTCTATTTCTCTCTCTCTCTATTTCTCTCTCTCTATTTCTCTCTCTCTCTCTTCTTTCTCTCTCTCTCTCTCTATTTCTCTCTCTCTCTCTTATTTTTCTTCCTCTCTCTCTCTATTCTCCTCTCTCTTCTATTTCTTCTCTTCTATTTCTCTTCTCTATTTCTCTCTCTCTATTTCTCTCTTCTCTATTTCTCTCTCTCTCTATTCTCTCTCTCTCTATTTCCTCCTCTCTCTCTTATCTCTTCTCTCTCTATTTTCTCTCTCTTCTCTATTTCTCTCTCTCTCTATTTCCTTCTCTATTTCCTCTCTCTCTCTTTTCTCTCTCTCTCTATTTCTCTCTCTCTCTATTTCTCTCTCTCTCTCTATTTCTCTCTCTCTCTATTTCTCTCTCTTTCTCTCTCTCTCTCTCTATTTCTCTCTCTCTCTCTCTATTCTCTCTCTCCTATTCTCTCTTCTCTCTCTCTCTATTTCTCTTCTTCTCTCTATTCTCTCTCCTCTATTTCTCTCTCTCTATTTTCTCTCTCTCTCTATTTCTCTCTCTCTATTTCTGTCTCTCCTTATCTTCTCTCTCTATTTCTGTCTCTCCTCTCTATTTTCTGTCTCTCTCTATCTCTCTCTCTCTTCTCTCTCTCTTGATCTCTCTCTCTCTATTTCTCTCTCTCTCCATTTC